TTATAATTCCTTTTGGTTGCCATGGCAACCAGATTTCTGCATGGAATTAAATTCTTTGAACAACTTTGGAAGCCCTTCACCCAAGGATCAATCCTGCCAAGTTTGGTTGAAATTGGACTAGTGGTTTTTCACAAGAAGATTTTTTAAGTTCACTATATAATCTATATAACACACACACACACACACAAACAAACAAACAAACACACACACACACACACAGGTGAATCGCTATATGCCACCGCATCGCAGATGCTGCGGTGGCATAAAAAAAAATGTTTTTTTTTTTTAAAAAAAGCATGTGTTTGATAAATACTAAAAGGGAAAGTTATTTTGTCATCAATTTCAATAAAAGCTGTGATAGTTAAAATATAATTCTTAAGTGCATTTCTTTATTTGCTTATTTTATTTCTGCAGATTTTTCATTGTCTCAAAATAAGGAGTCGACGGGTCGGTAAGCCGAAAGTTATATAAAAAATAATAACCTAATTAAATATTTAAATTTGGACATAAAAAAATGTAACATCGTTGCCGATGACAGTCGCACGGGACTTAAAATATCCATCTTGAATCTTACAAAACTTAAATTTGATTAACAACATGTGTCATAACTGACTCGTAATTATAATAGTAATTATTGATTTTTTGTGGTCTGCAGAGATTATGATGTGTATTGTCAAACTAAGGTACAATATACAATATGGTGTCAACGATTATCTCAACGCATGTATTTATCACATTTTCTCAATATTTTAAAATATTTTATATGAACATCCGGATCAGAAAATCGGCTCCGGACACCGAATCGTTATCCGAATGTTCGGATATCCGGACTCCGAATGACATCCCTAGTATGAACTTAATCTTTTAAGAAATAAAGAAGTAACAGTAAAAAATATTTTCTAAGGAAAATTCTAAGTTCAAGGGGAGATAATTCTGACAATATTGGTGCTAGAGTTATGAACCTTGTGGTTGACGATAAGGATCACATACTTGAAGTTTTAAGTTGATACCTTAAGATATGAAAAAGGTATAGTGAAAAATATTTTACTGCACCAAAACTTTAATCTGAAATCTGGATGTGGACGCCTTGGCAAGTAGGACAGCTCTCCATATACATTGTATAGTCAAGCTAAAAATCAAGAAAAATTCATTTGACCTAGGTCAAGGTCATTCATGAGTCATGGTTAAGGTGACAACAGACACTTTCCGTGGTATTCACATAAATGTCATTTAAACCAACTTATTTTAGTAATAATTGTTATCTATTAAATCTTTGTGCATTAAATGTCGTTGATCATCATACAAAATAACATATTTGAAAAAATGCCTTTGTAAATGATTGATTTTTAATAAAAATCCTAAAATTTTAAATCGTCATATCAAAGTCATTTTTTATTTTTTTGTCATCAAACTTTTGGAAAATAAACATATTTATAATATCTGGGGAACCGTGTCTCAAATTTTTTCTATCTTTTCTCAAAAAAATATTACGTAACGTCAAACATTTTATGCGACTTTTTTCACCATACATATTACGTAATTAAAGATAATTAAGTCGCTGATTGAGCAAACAAAAATCCCTGACACGGTTCCCTCCGTAAATGAATTCCCTTTCATGTGCTTTAAACCGCATGTTAATTGCTTGATTATTAAAAAAGTTATGCCGATTCAAAGTTAGTCCGACCCGCATCAAACAAAGTGTCATAAATCGGCTGTTCTCTCTCGGACCCCTACGTTTCACGCTAAAAAATTGCATAATACACAAATATCGCACCAGAGAGGGTCACAAGTTGCGGTAACATACTCTAACAACATTTTATGACCCAGTGACATCTGACCAATTAAAAAGTTGCTGATTAATATCAGTCTATAACAGAAATTTCTTCAAATCTTTACGTGATTTACTGTCCGTCTGGTATCGGCCGCATATGTCACGTGACTTTCGGTAAAATGTGAGGCACTCGGTGGGGGAAAAATGGAACGTTTTTGCGCACCGCTAGCGGGGTATTTAATTGTTTCACTTTTGAAGTTTATTATTATTATCTTCAGCATTATTATTATATTATACCAGTGTAACTCTGTCTGTGTATTCGTGTATGAAATTCCGTTAAAATATAAATTAAAATAATGAAAAACTGAGCTTAATGTCCATGGTAGATGTACAAATACGAACGGGATATTATATATTTTTTTCTCTAAATTGATATAAATGCTTCACATATTTTAATAAAAATAAAAGGTATCACTCGATCATTATGATCTGACCTTCATGACTTCTTTTATCATCCACGGCATAGAGATTCAGTTTCTACTGGGATATACAATAAATACCATACTTTGTCCCAGGTAGTGTTCGATTTACTGGCGAACAATTCATTCGAAGCATTCACTGATAATATATATCAATATCTTTTTTTTATTGAGAAATAAATGGTCATCTCTTTATTCATAGAGAAATAATCATCCTTAAACAATCTAAAATGGTTTAGAAATTTGTCAGGGACACCTTACCACAAGTCATATAGGCGTTCACATAAAAAATAATGTCGGTTTTTCTTGTTGTTTTACTTGACATTGTTAGAAAACGAGGTTGAATGTAAAGCAAGCCCTTGAATCTGTACTAAAGTCCATAAACTCAATGAAATGTCTATCAGATTAATGGGACAGACAAATTCTTTTCACACATTATGGATATTTTAGCAACTATATCTTTAATCAACCCCGTGGTCGTGCGATTTGCCGCTATGCTTAATTATTTATGTTTCACACATTCTGTTACGTACATTGGCCGACAATTTTTCATTTTATAAAAAAGGCTAAATAAAAGGTAGACGACATTCATAAAAGATGTACGGTATTTGTACGATACATGAATTACGAGTAGTATGGACCAGTATGGACCGGTAATTCACGCATATATGGAACTACCGATTTCCCTCATTGATGCCTCAACAGGGGGCGGAGCGTTATCGATTATTGACAGGTTACGCGAATAGCAGATAAAAATGGTACAGGTGCCGTTTTAAACGTTTAAAAACACATTTTTTGGACTAACTGCTTCCAAAATTAAATCACGAATGTGTTCAGAAAAGGTTGATAAATCTACTAAGCCAAAAATCTCATTTTAGGTATTTTCAGTGATAATTGACTCCGTTGTCACCTTAAGTTCAGTCTTGCTTACTTTACGGTCTCGTCAAAAGGGTTGTTGTGTCCAAGTATGAAGACAATCATTAAGAAATAAAAATATAATAGCCAATGTTACAGTATCTAGTTGGCAAATGGCCAACATGACTGTAGCAAAAGCTCAATTTCTTTCTTTGAAAAAGTCTAGCTAAACAGAACCTAGAATGAGTAGTCAGTTCCAACAGACTTACATTAAACTGAAAGAAGAGGGCCATGATGGCCCTGAGGTCGCTCACCTGTATATAGGCCCCCCCAACCAACACCCCCCCCAACGTTGCAGGGCAAATTTAACCCAAGAGCTTTTATTTGCACAAACTTGGTAGACACCCATAAGAAGATGTTTCATGCTAAACATCTAAGCTCTAGCTCATTGGGCTTTTTAAAAGAAGATTTTTTTAAAGTTTTTACTATACACATATAGTTAAAAACAATGACACCCCTGGGGCCGGGCCAGTTTTGACCCCAGGGCTTTTATTTGAACAAACTTTGTAGACACTTACTAGAAGATGTTTCATGCTTAATATCTTAACTCTAGCTATTTTGGGTTTTTCAAAGAAGATTTTAAGTTTTTGCTATACACATATAAAGAAAATCAATGACCCCCGGGGCGGGGCCAATTTTGACCCCAGGTCTTTTATTTGAACAAACTTTGTAGACACTCATAAAAGATGTTTCATGCTTAATATCTTAACTCTAGCTATTTGGGTTTATTCAAAGAAAATTTTTTAAGTTTTTGCTATACACATATAAGGAAAATCAATGACCCCCGGGGCGGTGCCAATTTTGACCCCAGGGCTTTTATTTGAACAAACTTGGTAGACACCTATTAGAACATGTTTGATGCTAAATATCTTAGCCATAGCTCTTTGAGTTCTTTAAAAGAAGATATTTTAAGTTTTTACTATATGCATATATAGGGAAAATCAATGAACCCCCGGGGCGGGGCCAATTTTGACCCCAGGGCTTTTATTTGAACAAACTTGGTAGACACTCATTAGAACATGTTTCATGCTAAATATCTTAGCTCTAACTCTTTTGGTTCTTTAAAAGAAGATTTTTTAAGTTTTTACTATATGCATATAGGGAAAATCAATGACCCCCCTGGGGCGGGGCCAATTTTGACCCCAGGGCTTTTATTTGAACAAACTTGGTAGACACCTATAAGAACATATTTTATGCTCAATATCATAGCCATAGCTCTTTGAGTTCTTTAAAAGAAGACTTTTTAAGTTTTTACTATATGCATATTGGGAAAATCAATGACCCCCCGAGGCGGGGCCAATTTTGACCCCAGGGCTTTTATTTGAACAAACTTGGTAGACACTCACTAGAAGATGTTTCATGCCAAATATCTAAGCTCTAGCTCTTATGGTTTTTTAAAAGAAGATATTTAAAGTTTTTTCTTTCGGTTGCCATGACAACCAGAGTTCTGCATGGAATTAAATTCTTTGAACAATTTTTAAAGGTGACCACCAAAGGAACATTCCTGTGAAGTTTGGATGAAATTGGCTTAGTGGTTTATGAGGAGATGTCATTTAAAGTAAAAGTTTACGGATGGACGATGGACAGACGACGGAAGAAAAGCGATCACAAAAGCTCACCCTGTCACTTTGTGACAGGTGAGCTTAAACGAAAAGTTACAGAGATTGCAATAGTTGAGCTCTGAAACACTTTCTTAGACTTGTTTAATATGTATATCTATGTAATGAAAACCCTTTAAGATTCAATTTTTCTTAAATTTTATATATTTATATACGAGTATATATGCATATAGCTTAACAATCCATATCAAATCATGCAATTCATTGAAGAAATACCTTTTGAAGCATTAAATGGTACGTCGACAGTGTTACAAGTAGAAAACCCAATCTCTTTCGACAATAAGTAGTCTGTGAACTGGTCTGGACGCAGGTGGATGTTCTGGAAATTCTCAAAAATCTCATCCTAAAGTAAAATTGTAAAACAATATCATGACTAAATATCAGCTTTTGAACTTACTACAGAGCAATGAACTAAACATGTTGACATAATTGTTATTTTTTTGAAGTGCCGGATGTTCAGTCAACATTATTTAGATCAATATGTGCAAATTAAGCTTTAAAGTGGATGTCACCCACTGGAGGATAATCCTAGGTTCCCTTTTAAGCACTTTACTATTACAGGCACAAGCAAACGCCGTAAAGAAGTAAAACCACTGATTAGATCTTCTAGCCAGCTTTCAAACATGAATGATTGATTTCAAGAAAGAAACTAACTGTTGTTTGAGGGGCACAAAGACTGAAGATGTTAACCTGGGCTTAATTAAGTGCCACCTGTAGTGTAATGTACTACAAAAGATTTCAAGTGTTGCTCACAAAAGTCATTTGTTATTTAATAAATTATCAAATTACCATTCCTGCCATGTCTTTGTAATATGCTGTGATTTTTATCAGTCTTTAAAAACGGGTGGCGGATGCCTTCTTGAAGGACGCAAAACTGGCCTCAAATATGGTAAAATTACATTTTATACATGTTTCTTCATTTATTTATCACACTCGTAAACATTTTTCAAGGTATTAAAAGAATTTAAAAACCCATACTGTTAACTTCTTCTTTTTCTTGTATGACGACCATGGTTGTGGCTCGAGTATAAATCTCCCGCCTGGTTTTAGCTGCTTGAACACTCTCTTGAAGAAACGTTTAAGACCATCATCTCCCCAATTAAAATGGATCCATTTTGTCACGCTCATTGCCAAGATGACATCATAATCTTCCTTCTGAAGTTCGAGCAGCTCATCAGACTCAAGCACAAAGTTTCCCTGAAAGATAAAACACATAATAAATATATACAAGTGCAGTATCTGGTGTTTTTATTAAAATCGCAAATTAAAAAGATAACAACCAAGTAAACAAGAGCTGTCCGTAAGACAGCGCGCTCGACTTTTTTATTGCTTGCCAATAAAAAAAGTTTTTGCAGTAAAAGGCAATACCCTTGAATATTACAGCAATGTTTATATGACATAATTTATGGTAAAGTGAACAAGTGGATAGGAATGAATTTTTTTAGATTTTTTAAGTTTTTTAGTGCTTGCCTATAATACAAAACATTGACAGTTAAGGGCCATAATTCAAATAAAATCTTTGACAGAATTACCTTCTCCTGGACATGTTTGGGAATCATGATTGTAAACAAGTATTCCAACTTTCAAATTAATATCTCAAACAGTTCAGTCAAAAAGTGGACTGGTACTAAAAACTTAACCAAGATTCTAAGTCGATAAAAGGCCTTAATTTTTAAAACAAATCCTTGACAGAGTTACCTTCTCTTGCGTACAGATGGGGGTAATGATGTGAAATAGCATTAAAAGTTTCAAAGCAATATCTCAAAGGGTTAAGGCAATAAGTGGATTTTACCCATATTCAATGTATTTTCTAAGTCAAAAAGGGGCATAATTCTGTCAAAAACCTTGACAGAGTTATGTCCTCTTGTCTGTTGATGAAGGTCGTGATGGTAAACAAGTATGGTCAGTTTCAAAGCAATACCTCCAATGGTTTTGAAATAAAGTGAGGTGGTACAAAAAACTTAACCAAGCTCAATACACTTTCTAAGTCAAAAAAGGGCCATAATTCTGTCAAAAACCTTGACAGAGTTATGTACTCTTGTCTGTAGATGGAGGTTATGATGGTGAACAAGTATGGTAAGTTTCAAAGCCATACTTGTAATACTTCTGAAATAAAGTGGGGTGGTACAAAAAACTTAACCAAGGTGTGACGCCAACGCCGACGCCGACGCCGGGGCGAGTAGGATAGCTCCCCTTTTCATAGAAAAGTCGAGCTAAAAAAAACAATAAAGCTACAAATAAAAGGCATCCATAGATTTATAATATTTACAGACATTATTTTTCTCCCGTACAAAATTGAAAATTCACAATTAGTAAATAATTTGAGCACTTTTCTTCTAATCCAAATTATTTTTGAACCACTGTTACCAGAAATTTTTTGGGAGATCAGTCATAATAATCAAAACAATTATTGAAATTTATTTATGATGAACACACACAAAAAATCATTTATACTAAAATAAAGTTACTATATAATCAGTTTTTATTCAAAGTTTTTTTTTTAAACTTACCTGCATAAATAACACATTGTGAGGGAAATTTCTGTGTTTACTGGATTCCATTTTAGACACAGGTGGTGCTGTAATTGGACCATAGTTTAGAACATTGGAGATCGGAAACTTTGATGTATCGGTTACATTTGATGACAGGAAAAGTCTGATGTTTTTTCTGGCAACAGTTATCAACTTGGGATCAATATCTATTCCAACAATTTTTGACGGATGATAATCCTTTGCTAATGACAATGTTAAATTCCCAACATTGCAACCTATATCAAGAACACTTTTACCTTCAAACCACTCCTTTTTCATACACTCTAAACGTTTATCTTCCATAGATGGGGTGCGGTAACCATAATATCTGTTGTAATTGCCATATATGAACTTAGCAGGAATTTTCTCACTTTTTTGCACTGACACACTGGTTTTTGTCTGTGATGGTTTTGGTTGCTTAAAGCGTTTTGGAGTTGTCTTTTTTTCTGATTTAATTGTTGGACTGGTAGATGAAATGGGAAGAGATCTTTGTAATGATGGCGATGGGTCTGGTTTTCCACCACTGTCTGTTCTCCGCCTTTTCTTGCACTTTGGAGAATTTGGAGGAATAACGGGGGACACAATCTTGTCACAAACTGGTCTTGGCTTAGGGAATTCTTTGAAACCCAATGGTTCTGGAATAGCTTTTTCTGGTTCAATGTCAATTTTAAGAGCTTCCATGAGATTCTTGTCTTTATTTATATGTTTAGGAGGACTGAAAATTAAGGCATCTTCTTTCTTTTTATGGCGATTTCGCTGCTTCTTTTTTTTCAATTTCTTTTCCAAATCGGCCTCTTCATCGCTATCATTCAGGTTTAATGGATCAGTGATATTGAATGGAATTCTGACTTCTACAGATTGCCTTCTAATAGGTGTTGGTAATGGGGACGATTGTGGTGTGACTGAATTTAACTCTTTCCCCAGTTCTGATGAATCAAGGCCATTCAAATTTAAAGGATCATCTATGCTTCCTCCATTAAGAAATCGGTTTGGAAGTGGTCCTGTCGGAGTGGACCTAAGTCTTTTCCTACGAGCAATACCTTCGTCTCTACGAAAACTCTGGCTATACCTCCTTTTCCTACCCCATGGTTGGGAAAATTTAGTTTCGTTTTTAATACTCAAGTCATCTCTGGATTTCCTGAAACTTTCAGGTGATGAAAAACTTTTTTCACCACACTGAATTTCTGCCTGACAATCAAATCTAGTTTTAGTTGGTGTCTTTACTTGGACACTCATTTTTACTTATAAACCATACCATACAAGATTTATTTCAGAAATATCGCAAGTTTATCCGTCAAAAACCAATACACGATTTTGATTAGAAATATTACAACTTCATCTGTCAAAAACGTACTGATCGTATATAGCACATGCGTTTGTTTACATTTTCTATTTCCGGTTAGCGCCACCTAGCGCTGTCCCAAGAACAACAAAACTCGGTCAGCTTGATGATAAAAAAATCCACGCTGTACACTTCAAAATACCATTGATACCAACATTCAGAGCTGTCTTTAACTAATTTATGATATCCTTCACAATAAAATTGCACGTCTATTGCAAATTATTCCTTCCAAATCATGAAACAATCCCTATGTGCATATTCTTACTGCCCAGCAAGGATAATTTCATTTAATGAGTTGCGCATGCGTAAAGCTATCAGAATGCTGGGATAGAAAGTTGCGGAAGTGAATATTGTGTCGTCTGTAAACTTACGGGTGTGACTCGAGGTTTGTTGGTTTCAGTATTTTTTTTCAGCATATTAATCACTTTTCAGGAAATTGAATAATATGGTACCACAAAGTATTCTTAGGTTTTAGACTCTTGCGTTATTTTATAATTATAGGCAGATTCTCGATTTTTTATAGTCATTGACAGACTGAGCCAAATCAACTGTTCACCACAGGGACCCAGCACAGTGTTGGGATAGTGTAAAAAAGTATTAAAAAAAAATATATATATATTGTATATATAATATATAGACTATATATTATATATAAAGTATAATTTTTTGCTAGAATTACTTTTTTACACTATCCCTACACTGTGCCTGGTCCCTTTGCCCACAACCATGCAGGTTTTTTCCTCACTTTTTTGGGAAAAAGTCCTTAACCTCTCGATTTTGGAAAGATTAACGCCAAAATTGCGAAGTTGGGAAGTAAAAATAGCCGATGCATGTTAAGATTTTTGGGAAATCTGCATGATTTTAAAGAAAATTTCAATTGGGAAGAGACCTTTTGAGAGGCCTCAGTAATATAAGGTGAAAAATCACTGATAAGCACTGAATGTATTTATTTGAAACATCAAAGATGCCCTCAGGGGTCACAATTGTAACCTAAAAATTGTCAACTGCTAAAATTTGTTGGGCATGGCCAAGGATTTATTTTAATGCGCGGTCAGCACTGAGTTTCAAATGCACTGACTGTGTCAGTTGTCTGTGTTCACTGATACTGCAATCTAATCAATGCACAACTAGTAACTCAACACTACTCCCCACATGCTTAAGTTTATACAAATTAATTTTAGTTTGATTGCGCGGGAAGCTTTAAGCTTATTGAAACACTCTCAAATCCGTTGCTGAAACCAACCAGTACTAAGCAATGAATGTAAAGTTTCTTGCTCAAGGAAACAACGGCTTGTCCCTGACAGGGTTTGAACCCATGCGGTCAGCATCCTTTGATTACCAGTCTGATGCATTAACCACTGCCATGCAGCACTCTGCTTTGCATTTGATTGGGAGTTGGGGCAGACAGGTGAAGAAGTTTTCCATTGGAGCTTTAACAGGAGTTGGAAATCTACCTTGGGTAGTCAGAAAGTTTCCATGTCAATTAAAAAAATCAGTAATCAGTGTACGAAATTAGGATTTGAATCCAATAGGCTGGTCAGGCTACCAAATTAGAATATTCCACAGGAACTTGAAATTCTATCAATATTAATGATAATATCCAAAATATACCCCCTATACAGTATAAATAAACATACTGTATAGGGGGTATATTTTGGATATTATCATTAATATTGATAGAATTTCAAGTTCCTGTAAATATTCACTAGCCCAAAAGACATTTCACTATTATGATTCATTCGTTCCAAACATTTCTTTATATTGCCTTTGAAAATACGGTAGCCCGGTCAGGCTTTTTACTGCGAAATATTGGTAGCCCAAGGAGAAATGTGGTAGTCATGGGCCGGTTACACGACTTACCGGAATCGGCCGAATTACCGGAATCGACCGGAATCGGCCGTGAATTACCGGAATCGACCTGTAACTTTGTAATTATTAAACTTTTTAATTTTTTTCTTGCAATTTTATAAAATATAAACAATATCAATGATTTATGAAAAAGATTTTTATAAATAAAATCGCTTTTGATTAATTTAACAAGAGATCTAATATCGGCGAGCTACTGCCAAACTGCCCGTGACCGGAATCGGCCTGCTATTTCGTTGTTTATGCAACTTTTAATGTTCCTTTTGCATGTTTTTATAAAACCTAAATATTATCATTAATCTTCCTAGAGATTGTGAAAAAAATCGCTTTTAAATAATAAATATAAACAAATATTTATCATCAGCGAAAACGGGCAAACTGCCGGAATCGGCGAAGGATTACCGAAATCGGCTGTAATTTGCTTATCTTTAAATTTTTAACAAAATTTTTGCACCCTTGATTAAAAATAAACCATAGCAATGATTTGTAATCAGATTATTTTCAATAAAATCACTTTTTATTTATTAAACAAGATATTTAATATCGGCGAGTTACTGCAATACTGTCGGAATCGGCGAAGGATTACCGGAATCGACGTATAATTTAGTCTATTGTACTTTTTAACGTTTCTGTTGCATTGTTAATATTCGTCTTATAAAATATAAATATTATGAATGATATTTAAAAGTTTCTTTCTTTCTTTTATTTTGTAAATTTCAATTCCCCTTTGGTTAATAACGCAAGAGATCAAAGATAGGCGAGTTACATATACTGTCATACTGCCGAAATAGGCGAAAGATTACCGGAATCGGCCTGTATTATTGTAGTTTATGGACTTTGCAAGAAAAAATTGCAGACAATATAATTGATATCTAAAAAGATTTCTGAAAATGAAGAATCCTTATTCAATAATAAACTAGTGATCTAAGGTCGTCGAATTACTGCCATAATTATCGCATATATGCAGTGCCAGGGCTATCGGACAATTACCGGAATCGGTCTGTTTTTTCCCACCAATATTTATACCTTGAATTATTTTATTAAATACAAACAATTTAAACGATTTCTATAATGTTTATTGAAATCTGTATTAAATAAGAAGCAAAAGGTTTATGAAAAATCGCTGTTAGAAATATGATAAAAAGATTAATATTGAAGATCGGGAAAAACGGGAAGGCGATGGATTACTGGAATCGACCTGTAATATGGTTATTTGTGAACTTTTTAAATATTTCTTTTGCATGTTTTTATAACATATAAACATTTTCAACGATATTCATTTTTGTAAATAAATTCGCTTTTGATTAATAAAACAAGAGACCTAAGATCGGCGAATTACTGTCATACTGCCGATATAGGGGAAGGATGGGCGGAATCAGCCTGTTATATAGTTATTTTTATGTTATTTTATTGAATGCAAATAATATCATTGATATACAAAGAATTTTTTGGCAATACAAACAATTGAAATGATATTTAATAATATTTATTGTAATCGCTATTACATAATAAACAAGGTGATCTATGATTTCTTCCATACTACCGAATCGACGAGCGATTACCGGAATCGGCTTCACTTCGTCTGGGATTACTGGAATCGGTTCTAATTTTGTTATGAATGTGCACTTAATATTATTATTATCATTTATTTTTGCATGTATTTACAAACATAATCATTGATCTTTTATGGAATAATGCAATATCGTCTTTACATTATATTTTTCAGGACATTGCTAACAGAGGAGTGTTTGAAATGAAGGATAACAATAGGTCAGTTTAGTCTTTCTTTATGTTTGCATAACTCAATTCTTTATTTCATAAAGTAGTCGATTTATAATTACATGCACATTTTTTTATTTAAATCTTTATTTAAACAATACAAACGTCATAAAATATTCACATGAAATCAATGTTTTACCAGGCAGTTAAATCGTACTTACTTGACAGTTCATGGTCATTCTGGAGTATCAAATCAATTGTCGTCATTTGCGTTATTGGTGCTTTTTGATAGTTTCACCATAAAAATATTACAAAGATTACGAATTAGTCAATCGTTGAAACATAGATTCTTTAGTCTTAAATAGTAAACAAATCATCTATACCCGTAACGTATAAAACAGTGAGATATGAATGTTAACTATATACGCACAGATGTTACTGTCACTACGAGATGTATATTGGGAGCTGTGTATTAGGAAGTGTGATATACTACAAAACAGTGGGGTGCCAATATACGGTATGCTGATATATTTCATAGTTGGAGGGGGGGCTGTCTGTTAGAGAATGCCTGTTGTTAAGCAAGCTGTAGATGAATTAAGTCACAGGATTTATTGAACTTCAAAAATTTTAAAGGCTTATGATTTAGTCAGTGTAAAAACAAAACAACAATATAAACACCCTGTATACATCTTAAGATTCTTTTCAAAGTTTAGCATAATTTCTTACCATTTGACCCATTTAATTATTAATAAAAAATGGAAGAAGATCCTTAAAGTAAAGGATTATGATAAATAGTTAGGAGTTCCGTATTGAAAAAGTTAGAATAATTGTCAAAATTTGTCTGAAAATGAAGTCTTCGCATTTTTTTACCTTTACAGTTTAAAGGAACTCCACTGATAAAAAGAGTGATCAAATGATCTGATCCAAAGTTCAGTACTTATTTATTAAACATGAGATCTAAGATCAGCGAATAACTGCCATACTGTCGAGTAACTTGAGTATCTGCCATACTGTCGGAATTGGGGAATGATTACTGGGGAGTACGGACATAATCCCCTTCGGACAAAATCCCCTTCATGTATTTTTGTATATCTGGACATAATCCCCTCCAAGGGTGGACATAATCCCCTTCATGTGTGAAATTTTGAAGTGGACAAAATCCCCTTCATAAAATTGCTACCTAGGATAAAATCCCCCTCAGATGTATTTTCGGTTTATAAAGTGGGTATGAGAGCAACATACTGCATAATATGCTGTGTGGTAAATATCTTAATGTATAAATAAAAAGAAAATATTTCAGCAGAAAAGCACATTCAATAAGCACATTTAATGACATTAAAATTGCATTCTTAAAGCATTCATAACAATCAATCAAGTATTGCAGTGTTCTTGGTTTGATTAAATTATCACTCTTTCATCAATAGAAATTTTAACAATGGATAATATGTATCAATTATAAGTATCAACTTATACAATCAATGAAACAATTATTGGCTAATAAAATGTTGTTCATACTAATCAATTTAAAACAATTAAAGAAATTGCCTAATCAAATATGTGTTATGCAGTTGATAATTTAAACTTCTAAACTAAAAAAAGGTTAACTATTGATACATAATTATAAATAAAAAAAACAAAAGTTCATTATTCCTCAATTTTTAGGGAGTATAATAATACATTATTCATCAATTTTTATGGAGAATAATAATACATTAGAAACCTATGAAACAAGGGGATTTTGTCCGGGTAGTGAAGGGGATTTTGTCCAGCCTTGCTAAAACACGAAGGGGATTATGTCCA